TCCTCATAGGGCCTGCCCTGCTGCCCCCTGATCATGTGAGTGGCCCTTCTCTGGACCCTCTCCATGTTGTCCACATCCCTCCTGAAATGCGGCGCCCAGAACTGGACGCAGTACTCCAGCTGCGGCCTGACCAGGTGGCAATGGGCCTGCCAGAGTCCTCCATTATTTTTTTGTGTTTGCTAGCCATAAGGATTGTACTGCACCTGCAAAGGTGCAAGCTTCTCAGTAACATGACTGGCATCTGTGTTTCAACCATGGATATATATTCTATCCCCTACTCTGGAATCCTGTTCCTGGGATTCTTGCCCTTCAAATCATTGAACCCCATTCACCTGCTGGCATTTAATTACCATGTCTGCTACCAGCTTTCAAAAGGAGATTGCTGCTAAAAGGTATCAGACACATTTCCATGCCAAAGATAATGGATCTCAAACAGAAATGAGAACCAAGCATTTTGGGATGCTGGGGAACTGTGAGTTAACTTGAATCTGGAGGAGATCTGGACAGATGTTCAATAAACTGATTTAACCTAAATTAGTTAACTCTGATATTACATCCATCCAGGTTTATCTTAACCTGGTTTCAGCTATTTTGAAAGTGGTTTATGTGTACTGAAGTTGTGTTATGTTACAGATTTGAAACAGTTTCTGATTGCTTATACTGGTTTCTGTGTAATTTCTGTCCCTAGCCTTAATGAGGGTCTAGCATCCATGTGCATTTGGCCATTCTGCCCCTGTATCAGTTGAAACATCCCAACACATTGGCTCCTGGAAAGCTTTATTTGATGTGAAATGCAAATGATTAACTGCCAGATTGTAGCCAGCAAATCCTAGAACTGTAGGATCAAACTAAGGAATGAGCATGGTAAAAATAGCAATTTGTCCAACACTTGCTGGGGTTAGTTTGTATTCCAGCTTCACAGTCTTAGCAGTTTTTATGATACAATTGATGCTGCTTACTTTTGGAAGTACCCAGACAGGAGGAGGTGATTACAGAGGCCAGCAATAAGATTTAAAGTTATTACCAGACACCAAAGAGCAGGAGACTGATACAAACAGCATGGAAGAGGATTTGGGGGAGGTATATTGTTTAAATCCAGGACTAAAGCAGAAGACCGAATTTTCTCCACTGCAGGATGTAGAGTGGTTGTCTAGGGTGATTGTCTCCAGGATGTCTGCAGGATGCAGAGTGGTTGTCTAGGGTCTTCATTTTTTAAATTAGCCTCTAGATAGTTTCAACTATAATTCAGTGGCTTCCTTCTTGGCTTCACCTCTAGCTATGCTAATTGTGGGGTGGGGTTGGGGTTGAATCTTTGGTCAGTCTGTGTTTAGGTGCACTCTGCTCTCTAGCCTGTGTTGTTTTCTTGCTTTCAGAAGGTAATGATAAAAGGTTGCTGCCTAGGTAGAGGGTCTCACTAGATTCCCTAGTCTTCTCTTCCTTTCCCTTATCGTTTGTGTGATTGAGAGGAAAAGTTTTTCAAATGCTTCTTAAAACTTGGAATTAATAAGAACCCCCTCCTTTAGTTTCCTATTCAGCTCAAGTATTGGACAAAACAGCTGGGGGCAGAATGAATGGTTAAAGATTCAGTTCTTCTGATTCTTCAGTTGAGGGCTGAAAAAAAGCTTCAGTTATGCTCACAGTTAATGCTGGAAGGGAGCTCATGGGTCAGCTAGTCTGCACAAATGCAGGATTTGCACTTCCTATATGTATTCTCTGGTCTTTCAGGAACCTGCAGGAGAAGGAGACTTGATTATCATTGCTGGAAAGCAGCATCCCCTGTTCCACCAAGTAAAAAAACAAAAAAACCCCATTTTCAAACCTCCTTTGTACATCCTAAACTGAGAGGGCATGAACTCATTTGTTAGTTGCTACTGAAAAGATGAAAGTTTAGTATCCATTCCAATGTTGTCCCACTCCTGCCTCACTTAACCCAAAAGCACTTGAATGGGTTTTCTCCCCATTTGCTCAAATAATAATATATTGCACTTCAGCTGACACCAGGCATGGAAAATTTAAGCCCAAGGGGGTACTTTTTCAGAAAGTTATGAGTAAAGCAAAACAGGTGTTGTTTATAACTCTAGATTTATTTTGCAGCCATAACTACAGCACTTGCTACCAAGCAACCACTAAAGTAGCCCTTTGTAGAGCTTGAGTTATATTGGATGGTATGGCTTAAATTTAACATGGTTCACTTAAAATGCTCACCAAATGTTTCCTGTGAAGATGATGAACACAGCTTTCAAACCCCATGTGGTATATTAGCCCTGTCTATTAGATGAAAAGTGTTTTAAGAAGACATGGTAGCTAAAGAGTTTTTATTCTGGTGTTTGCTTACTTTTCCATCTGTTGTTGTTTCTTTGCTACTTCCATTTTCTAGGTCTCAGTAAACACTTTGGCTTAGTGGTTGATATTTAACCCTCTTGAGCCTAGCTGCTTGTTGCTATGTATACTAATGATCAGTGAGACCTCTAAATTGGTTGGGCAACAATTGGAAACTTGCTGGGCTTTGCATTTAAAAAACATTATAAAAATGTCATGGCTCCAATTCACACCCTGAAATTCCTTCAGTGCAGTTACCTTGTAGGTTTCATAGGTGGCAAAAGGTATAACTCTGTGTTGGAGGATGAACTCCTTTTATCTTTATAAGAGGTATATTGTACATTGCATCATGCAGGCTTCCGGCAACTCTCCTGCCAGTGTTTTTCCAATTTGCCATGGAGGAACCCCACTGAGGGCAAGAGAGGAGTTGAGTCTTCCTGGCCTAGTCAGTTGTTCTGCCTATTACAGTGCTAATAATAATGCTGTTCAATGCCAAATGGTGCTTTTTGTAGCCTGGTAGCTAGTCCTTTCATGTAGGTTGTAAAATATTTGTCAGGTGGCAGGAACCTGCTGGGTTGGATTTGAATTGGCGAGTCCTAGCATCTTCAAATGACTCCTCAGGGAAAGGCCTGCAAAGTCCTAGTTTTGTCTCTGCTAATTGGCTTTCACAGCCTTTCCTGAATGCATAGAGAGGAGTTGACAAGACCTGCATGAATTGTCCTGCCTGGCCTTACTGTGGTCCATGTACATGCTCTTGTAAAAATAACGTATGCAGGAGCACAGGTGCAGTTTTGAGCACCTCAGAGGGGTCTTGAAGTGGGGGAAAGATAAAGAAAGGAGGAACTATTAGTCTGGTGGTAGCACATCAGCAGTGGCATTTCTACACAGTCCCTCAAAATGTTCCCTCAAAGGTTTAGCGATCTGTGAGCAATCCTGGCTGGGAGTGTGCAAGTATCTCAGTTCCCCCTCCCTCCTGCAGCAGCCTGTGGCTGGGTTGGGGCGGGTGGCGAGTGGCCGGATGTCAAGCTGGGCGAAGGGGTGGGGGAGCATTGGTGCCTCCTTGCTGTGGGATTGGGCGTCTCCCCCAGGGGCTTTGGCCCCCTACTGCCCCTCCTGTGGGTACGCCACTGTGTATGTGGCATTAAAAAGTTATTGTGCGGCATGATTTTTTATTGCGTGTGGCTGCACATGCATGCAGCTTAGAGGGAACGCTGGTTCCTTGTCTAGGCCAGAAGCAATGTGGAGGGATTACTTGAGCTGTGGATCTCAACTTCTTTAGGCTGAAGTTGCTCCTTGGAAAAATGTCAGCTCTGAATTTTCACTTGTATTTTGACTACAAAAAAATAATAAAGCAAATCTGTTGCAAAGAACTCAGATCACAATAGATCAACATGATTTTATTGCTGTGGGGTTCTATTTGAAATATCTGGGTTTATCTTGTCAATCATGTTTGTATATTTAACACTGCAAACTTTGCGTGGCACCCTTGAAAGGATCTCAAGGCACCCAAGGGTGCTGTGGCATCCTGGTTGAGGATCACTGTACTCTAGGGGCTTGTGTGAGTGAACTGTAAGCA